TGCATAAGTCACATAGAAAAATTAAAGTTTGCTCTATGAATGATTTGTGATATGTTTGCTATAAAGGACTTCAGAAGCACTGATTAATATCATTCTCAGAAGTATATATGTGTTTGTCTTTGTGCCTGTGTACACACCTGGAAGTCAGAAGAGGGCATCATGTGACTCCTCTCTCATTCCCTGTTATTCCTGTAAGGCAGGGTCAGTCCCTAGGCTTGTGTCTGCTTGTCTAAGCTGGAAGGCAGCAAGCACTCATGATCACTATCCTTCTGTCTCCATATCCCTCAGGTCTGAGTGACAGGTATGCTCAGAAGGCCTGGCTTTGTTCATGAGTGCTAGGATCTAAACTTTGGGTCTTTCATTTGCACAACCACCAATTCTAACTCTCTAAGCATTTCTAGCTCCTAGTAGCATTTCTAAATTTCTTTCAGACTGAAAAAGGTTCTAATGAAGGAATGTAATCAGTTGTACTGTTTTATTTTATTGAAGATAGGGGAAGAGAATATATACTTTGCATTTAGGTTTAACCAGAATTTAATATGCTTTATGGAGAATCCATTGGAAAAGTACCCAACTCTATTCTAGGAACACAAAGTCAATATGCTCAGGCTAATTTTCTTGGCTTCTGTTATACTGCTTGCTTGTACAAAACCTCCCCCTCAAGCTGCCAAGCAAGATAACAGTATTTAGTTTTGTATTTAAAAGCCCTTGTGCTAAGTGTAGCTTTAAGCTACACTTGGGTCCCGAATACTTAAGTATAGTACTAGCTAGCTGGAATGAAGACTTTCAGTAGGCTATAGATTGTGTCTGACTGGACTTTCATGGGCTCCTGGTAACACAGCAAAGCTTTTCTCCCATTTTTTTAGCCTATTTCTTATTTCAATCATTCATTTCTTTTGAGTGATCAAGGGGTTTTAATTTCATAACATCACAGTTGTCAATGCTTGGTCTTATTCTTTGAGACACTGGTATTTTTTTTTTTTCAGATAGTTCTTGCATATGCCTATTTCTTGAAGTGTTTTCCCATCATATGTTAGTATCTTCATTCAGTTTGAACTGTTTGATATTGAAGGTGAGAGATGGGGCTCTAGAGTCATTCTTCTACATCTGAACATCTAGCTTTCCCTGTGCCATTTGTTGAAAAGGCTGCCGTTTCTCCACTGTATGTTTTGGACATCTTTGTCAAAAATGAAGTGGCTATAGCTGTGTGGGTTTTCTTTGGTCCTATTCTGTTGATCTCCTTTAGTGCCAGTACCATGCTGTTTTTATTATGATGGTTCCATAGTATAACTTAAAATCAGGGATACTGATAACTCCACCATTGGTCTTTTTGCTCAAGATTGCTGTGGTTGTCTGGGGTCTGTTGTACTTTGATAATGAATTTCAGGACTTATTTTTTTCCAGTTAGGAAATTTTCATTGGGATTGCACTGAATCTTCGGACAGGTTTATGGCAATATAGTAATTTTTATAATATTAATTCAACTGACCCATGAGTTATGGGAGGTGTTTTGGCTCTATGACAACATATACTAATTCATTTTTGTTTTAGGTTCTGTTTCTCAGTAGATTTTAGTCTTTGGTTTGAATTTTGCTTCTATAATATGGACTCTAAACAAGAAATATAATATAAATTTCAGCAGTGCCAAAGACAGCTTCCTAATTTATCTCCCCCCTTTTTTCCTTCTGCCTACATCCTTCCTTCTCGCCTTCTCATCCTCCCTCCCTCTTTCTTTTGTGTTTAGATTCATTAATTCTTGAATCTGCAGTTGCAGTAGGAGGTAGGGATGTTAGCTTCCTCTTATTTAAAATAAGTGAAAACCCAGTAAGATAGCTGTTGTGAAAGGTGGGCAATAGGGAAAACTACCTTCCAATTTTTAATTACTGCTTTTGATTTGTGTTCAGTGGGCCACTGTATATCGTCATTAATGCTGAATGCTCCATTTCAATAACCAGACCGTATATTGTCATTAATGCTGAATGCTCCATTTCAATAACCAGACCACATTCTCTGGTTCAATTAAACTGGGGTCCTATTAATGGAAGTAAGATGATCAGATTCCATAGCCCTAAAGTTATTAGCTAATGTGCACTGGGAATTGACAAAGAGAATGGTGGGAATGTGGAGCATTATGGAACCAGCAGCCTCTTAGACACAGGGCTTTAATTAATTCCATTCAATGCTCTTGATTAGGCTATAGAACATTCAATAAAACACTGTCTAAAAGAGTTTTAAAAATCTTAAGGTTTCTTTTTTGGTTGTGAAAATCCACAGGAAGTGGCTACTTCTATAGAGGCTTTACTGGGATCTCTCAATACATGCATTTATGATAAAATTTCAAAATTTACATGAGCACTACACAGCCAATTAGATGAGCACACTGTCATTTTCTCACGCAAATCAAACTTCATTGTGGGAGTTCACTTTTTAGAAAGAGACAGAAACAAATAGTTCAAATAAAGACATCTGCTGGCCTATCCATGATTAAAAAAAGCTGCCCTTGAGCATAACTGAAATATCTTTCAAGTCACACACCTTGTACAGAGAGAAAACATTAATATATTCATTTTTAGTAAGCTTTACAGTCCACATGTATGAAAATCATCTACTGTAATGGATTTGTAAAAGAACCACACAGTACCATGTATGTTCATGTCATTTTGGTTATCATGCATGTGCAATGAGACTAACCTAAGAAGAGCAACCATAAGGAGTTGCAAATGGATATAATTGATATTCACAAAGAAAAATAAATATACTCATTGATTTTCGCAATTAGTAACTTTCTGTATACATGATTCAAACTGAGTTGACTATTATTAATGCATCAAGAGTCTACCTATAGAATTTCCAAACAAACAAACAAACAAACAAACAAACAAACAAACGACAAAATCCAGAAATCTCCCCTGTGATTTATGCTTGAATATAGCTATGAAAATATTTCTGTTTAGTTGTAACGTCGATGTAGCTAGTATTTATTAAATCTTATCAGCTTAAGCATCTCTGAGAGCTGTGAATAAGAATGACAATGATATTGCAAATATATTTGTATTTATTTCAAAGACAGTTCATAAAACATTCAGCTGGAAGGACAGAGGGAAAAGAGACCATTTGTAATCATGTCATGTGATGTGTTGCACAGCTTAGTCATTCCTGTTATTAAAAATTATCATAATACATTCGGTGCAGATACAGTGTTTGTTATTGAAAATACTCTTCCTGCACTGTGGCAAATTTTAAGATTAAACTCCCACCTGAAAGATAGTGGGATTACTTTTATGCTTTTATATGAGTTTCCATGGCTCCTTAACAAACATGGTTTGTATGAAATCTATTTCTCTTGCTATAGCTTATATGGCAAGTATATATATTTAACCTTTGCCTCATTGCTAACAAAAAGCCCTACTCAAAGTTGTTAATTATTAAGTAGGTGAGGTTTGCATCACACACACATACACACACACACACTCTCTCTCTCTTTCTCTCTCTGTTTTTCTGTGAGTTGAGAATGATGCAATCAAGTGTTAACAGTATTGCGTCTATTCATATAATGTTTTCTTTTGTACTAAAAAAAGGACAAATTCTTTGGGGACATGTAACTTCTGGCATATAAATCTGATTGAAATTGATAGAGAAAATACTGGTGGATCTAGAGTTCATGCTTTCAGTTTTCATCACAAACTTGTACATTTTTTGTGTTCTTATGTGACTATTCCTGTTATCAGAGAAGCCACAAATCCTGGCACTTTGCCCTACGGCTGCTCAGTGCCACTGCTGTGTACCAGCCCAGGTCCTGTCACTCTGCACCCTTGTCATTTTTTATCTGAAAACTGCACTTTCATCTCAGTTACTCTCTTTTGTCTCACAGCTCACCTAGTTTCAAAATTCACCTGGAACCCTGATGTTAAAGTCAGCTTCTAAAACATATTGCCTCTTTACCTGAGGAATGAGAGACACTCCCATCGTATGGTTCTAACAGAGTGTTTGACCACTCAAGTCATTCATTTGAAAAACGAGCCAATAATTTGCTATATCCTTGCTCTTACTCAGTCTTCAGTCCTGACAGACTTCCATAAGTCTCTTATTAATTCATTATAAATAATATATAAATATGCATATAATACTTTCAGGTTCTATGTCTATGATCTGTCACTATGACTATTCTTTAGCTTTCTTTGAGTTAGCTCCCTGTATCTACGTGCTACTTGAATCACATGACCTCCCCAGGCTGAGTAATTTATTCAATGTTGGCCACACATAGCAATCACTAGAGGAGGTTAAAAACAAAACAAAGCAGACTAGCCAAATTAACCAAGAGTGTCTGTGGGGGTTGTGCAGACATCAGAAACACATTTTGTGCTGTTAAATGTTGTAATTTAAAATGTTCTAGGAGTCCAAACATCTAGGGATTTTGGCTTATATGGGGTTTGATATGAAGGTATTTCACTGATTTGGTCAATCAGTGTGAGTTCTGTACAGCAGTAGAAAACGGAAGCCTTACAGTATTTTGTTTAGCTCACAGTGTGTTTTAAAAATTTTTTGAGACTATTTAAAAATGAATAATACATATTCAGGAAGAGCAACACTAGCCACAACTGAACCGTGGTTTCCTTTTGAACTTTCAATTGGCTGCAGAACTGTCACTTTCTACAGCTTCTTCACAGAGAACAGCATTGCTTGCCTTTTATTGTAGTACTTGAATAAAGCTGCATTTCAGTAGAGGAATAAGCACTCTACAGAAAAGCATTGCTTCATGTCTCTCCTACCATCTCCATTCCCTAAGCAAATCACAGTGCTGAAGTAGGAAAGGGCCTATATAGGCCAAATGTCCACATGCTAAGTTCTTCCTGTTAGTTGTCTGCCTGGGGCTGGCAGTGATCGGAGCTAGCAGACCCTGGCCCCCTGTATTGACGGTACTGTGGAAGAGCGAGGCATAGGGAGACACCTTTGTGGGGGAGGAGCACACGGATGATGCTTACAGGAGCCTCAGTGCATACCTGATTCTGCTGATCTCAGAGGATGACCTCCAAATTGTATTTCAGTTTGGCGGAGTTTTGTCATGTTTAACAGCTGTGTGACATGAGGAACATCTGCTGAGAGTTGACAGCTTCGTGGAATAATATCTGTGGGTTCATCTGTCGAAAAGGGAATACCACATACCGTTTGAAATGAAGAGCACCCAGGCCCCACATAGAAGCCATTTCTGTCAACTGAGCAAGCTCTGTAAGGAAACCAAGTAAAGCAAAACAGTTTAGAGTGCAACTCTGCACACCTTACTCAAAGTTTCAGCCTTGATGTCTGTACAGTGAGCATGGCACTTCTGGATAAGAGAAAAATTAGAAATGGCCTGTGTGATCTATGGAGAACAGCCCCAACCAGACATGATTATGAATGAAAGAGCCAAAGAGCATTAGAAACCATGAACAATAGCAGAAAAGTGTGGAAAAACAAAGTCAGGTCATTCAGAGAAAAAACAAATTCGCTGAGGTGAGAGCTACAAAATCCTCTGCACAGCTGTCAGGAGTGGCCATTAAAGTATGCTGACTTAACATGGATGCATGAAGATGGTGGGCCAGGAGAGGATTAAGCAGCCTGCAGAGAAGAAGCCAGATCCCCTGCTGAGGATGGAGAGAAGCCTAGAGTAGTGATGGCTGTGAAGACTGCTGCACAAGTGTTGCATGGGACCTTGAGGAGGGAACAGAGGAGGAGAAGAGGGAGGGCAGGATTGGAAGGGGACACGGGAGGCAGCTACAGCTGGGATACAAAGTGAATAAATTGTAATAATAATAATAAACTCCTGGTAAAATGCATTTGAGGTTGCTCTGTGAGACAAGTTTCCAGGCAGGCCCACGCCAGCTTAATATAGACAGTCAAGTCTTTGGCTCTCTGCCCTGCAACAATAGTAACTTCTGATTTTATCTTTTATTACCTTTTTAAAAAAGACTTACCTTTATTTTGTGTGCACGGCTGTATTGCCTGCATGTATGTCTGTGTACCACATGTATGCTACACCTATGGAGGCTCAAAGTGGGTGCTGGATCCTTCACATTGGAGGTATTAATGCTTTGAACTATCACGTGGGTGCTGGAAATTGAAGTCTGGGTTTCTGAAAGAACAGCCAGCCAGTGCTTTTAATTGCAGGCCCATCTCTCCAGCTCCTATTGACACTTTTCTGTACTTCACATGTTTAGCTGTTTTGTTTTAGCTTGTATTTCACCCAAACAGGCTTTCATGACTCTCCTTACTTGTTTTAAAGTTTATATGTAACATTTTTTATTGTTTCTCATAGCTACAATCCATATGTTCTCCCTCTTATTCATACATCACTCTTTCCTATTCACTCCCACTTTTTTCTAGACAGTGTTTTTCTGTGTGGCCTTGCATGCTCTGGAACTCACACTATAGATGACACTGGCCTCAAACTCAGGGATCTGCTTGTCTCTACTTCTCAAGTGCAGGTGAAGGCATGTGCCGCCACCTGGCTCCTTCCCTTTTTAAATTGCCTTTAGTTCTAACAGTCCATAAACTAAACATAAATGAAACCACCCCCACACATAATCTACATTTTCCCCAATATCAATCATTGTGCCTCTATCTCTGGAGGACATATACATACCAACACATGTACAACACACACACACACACACACACACACACACCACAACAGACATGAGAAAGCAAGCCACTAAAACACCCTTCAAACTTACAGTTTCCCAAGAAACCCAAGATAATGAGATAACTGAAGTACCAGACAAAGATTTCAGCATCCTACTTTTCAAAAGGATCAGTAATTCATATAGGATACTAAACAGCAGACAAATGAAATAAGAAAATTCAGGATCCAGATAAGGAAGTCAGTAAAGTAGATAAAATAGCCATTTGGAACAAAAATTCAAAAAACCTGAGTTAAAATTCATCATGGAATTACAAGTTCTTAAACATAACCAATAGCAATGTTAAACATGAAAGGCCAATCAAACAAACAACAACAACAACAAAAAAAACCAGCAAAAATTATCATGAGAAAAAACTAAGTAGAATAAAGAATATCAGAACAAGGCTGAGGCAGCAACACATCCTAACATAGAAAACTTTACAAAACATTACAAAATAGAACATCAAATAATCTTCCAAGAACTTTTGGAATATATTCAAGACACCAAACCTAAGAATCCATGGGGAAGGAGCCAACACAAAAATCTAACCTAGCCACTTAAATGACAGCAGAAAATTCCCAAAACCCAAGAGAGAAACAGATATCCACACATTTGTAACCTTAATGTGAGGTAAGGCCTCAAAAGTGAATGCAAAGGACGATATCCTAAGTTGTAAGGAAAATGTCAAGTCAACTATAAAGAAAATGTACCCGTGTAACATCGAATTTCTCATAAGCAACTCTAAAAGCCAAAGAAGCATTTAATGATACATTTTAAACCCTGAGAGTAAATAATTGTTAACAAACACTGTTATATCCAGCAAAATTATCTTTTAAAATTGACAGAGAAATATGTATATTGCAAGCCTGGCACATGCTAAGGCAATTGAGGAACCCCAAGCCAGCACTACAGAAAGTACTTAAAAGAAGATTTTACACAGAGAAGGAAGAAAAATAGTCTTAATCGTGAGCTTCTGGGAAGAATAAATTTCATGATGAATAGATCAACAAAGGAGGTAAGAAGAGATCTGAGATGTCTAACAAAGTAATTTCGTAAGAGGAACAGGAAGAAAGTAAGGAAGGTACAACAATCCCGCCAATCCAAAAAGGAAACAACTCCTCCTGATAGTAACCTTAAATGGAAATAGGACCCATTCACCATTTATAAGATGTAGATGAGAAAACTGAACTAAAAAACAAGATCTTACTATTTGTTGTTTCTATGAGCCATGTACCACTGGCAAAATGACTGACTTAGTTAGGATTTTTATTGCTATGATGAAACACAATGAACAAAAAGCAAGTTGAGGAGGAAAGCTTTCATTTGGCTTATACTTCCATATACCACTGAAGGCCCTCAGGACAGGAACTCAAACAGGGCAGGAACCTGGAGGGAGGAGCTGATGTAGAAGCCACGGAGGGGTGCTGCTTACATGGCTTGCTTAGTCTGCTTTCTTATAAAACCCAGTGCAATTACCCACAGTGGGCTGGGCCCTTCCATACAAATCACTGATTATGAAGACGTTTCTACAAGCTTGCCCATAGCTGGATCTTATGGGGTCTCCCTCTTCTTTGATAACTCTAGCATATATAAAGTTGACCTGAGACTAGCTAGAATAAAAAAGTCAAAGCATGGGAGTTAGGCTCTCAAGCAAGTAAATATAAGCCAATAAGCTTGAATAGCTATTTTAATATCTGGTAAAGCAGATTTCAAACCAATAGGAAGAAGAGATAAAAAAGGTCACTAAACTTAATAAAAAAAAAGAAATGTAATAATTACAAATATACATGCATTGAATTTTGGGGCTCCTAATTTCATAAATGAAATACTGATGGTGGATAAGGTCACACAGGTCCTGAAATAGTAACTATGTGACCAGGTAGCTTCAGTAACCCTTTCCCATCTTTACATATGTCATCAACAAAGAAACTTCAGTTCACTAGATTTAACAGATATCTCATTCAACAGAGAAAAAATACACATTCTCCTCAGCAAATCTAGGAATTTCTCTGAAATTATTCACATTACAAGCCATAAAGAAAGCCTTAACACACACACACACACACACACACACACACGATTCCCCATATTTTATTACAGTAGACAAAAAATTAAAAAGCAATAGCTAGAGAAATTATATTAATATATGGCCACTGAAGAAACTAAGGAGAAGATTAAGAAATTAATAGACCCAAGGAAATGATGGAATAATAAGTGCAAGGATTGGGATGCAGTAAAGTCCTGTCCAAGAATAACATTTTCCAACTCTGGAGAAAAAAATCAGTGCCAGAATTTTTTTTCTCAAAATACTAAATGAGCTAAAGAACTGAACAGACAGACAGTCCTCAAAAGGGTAAATACAAGTGGCCAATAAATATTTGAAGATTTCAGCACTCAGCCACCAGGAAAATGAAATTAAAATAAAGTACAACAAACTTTGGCAAGGATGTAGCACAGGGAAACAATGCTCTAGAATGTCAACTGGGCAGTCTCTAGAGAAATCAGTATAGCACCGTCTCAAGAAACTAAAACCAGAACTTATATATACCGAGCTATATCACTCCTGGCTAATACACTCAAAGGTTGTAACTTCTACCAGATGCTTGCTGACTTATAGTTAGTGATGAACTGTTAACCATAGCTAAAAAATAGATAACTTAGATGAGCATCAACAGCTGAGTGAACCAGGTAAGACTGTGCATTATTCATGATGGAATTTTACTCAATGTAAAAACTGAAATCATGACAATTGCAGGAAAATGAAGGGAACTGTCAATCATTGATATGCAAAGAGAGCCAGACCCAGAAATACTAATGCTATGCTTCCTCTCCTGGAGAAGCTAGATTTAGATTTATAAGGAAGGAGGGGAGAGAAGAGCTCTTAAGGGAAGGAACTGGCAGGAAAGAGAAGATAATGGAGTACTTGGCTTTAAAGCAGAAGAAGGCCCACTGGAGGGGAAGGTAAGTCAGAGGGCTGGGAAGGGCAGTGGAGAAAGAGGGTGGGCATTAGCAATGTCTGAAGATATCATAATGAAACCAAGTATTTTGCATACTAGTTTTAAAAAATAAAAGTAATAAACCCAGAACTAAAACAAGCATGAGAATTTTGCTGCTTACTTTCAGGTGTTGGGAGGATTAAATCAGATAATACTTATACAGTGAAATCACAGTACTGTGCACTGAGCCCAGGCATGCTCTGGGAAGCCTTCATGTCCACTTTTAAAATAAATTTATCCTCTTTGTGTTTAATTACTTTTTAGGTTAGCTCACAAGTAATGGTTTTCATCATGAGCTCTTCATGGACATCATACTTCATTCTCATTTATTCTTCTTACTTTTCAATACCGGAAGTGTGGACGGAGAGAACTGGTTGCATACACTCCAACTGGGATTTCTTAGTGTACATTGGTTCAGTCATGAGATCAGTAAGCACAAAGACTGAAACACCACAGCCATCATTTAAGTTAAACGTTCTATCC